CTTCAACCGGCATGTACATGGCTTATTTCCACTGCCAGAGACACAGGAATGCGAAACTGGAAAATGCAAAACTAGCCCACGCGAGCAGGATTCGATCCACAAAGTGCCGTATCGTCGTCCAATCTAGAGCCCATCGTGTTATCCGTTGCGCCATCCGAGCTGCCAGCAGTGAGGTGAAGGGACCGTTGATAAAAACATCGCTGTTGCGGCGGTGAATGCCTAGTGTGCCACCACATGATAATCATATTTTGCCTTTATTCAAAGCCATTTTCGAAGCCTTATCAAAGAGCACCTTCAAAACAATGCATGCTCGAAGTTACAATAAAAATGGAGCCCATTAAGATGGTCAAAACCGCCTAATCTTGTCGAATTCTTTTTACTCAGTTTTTGACCTACCCAGAAACGCATAGCAAAAATGAAACCCATTTTTGTGATCCTTGTATGGACCCCTACAACAAGCAACAAACCATTTCCAAAAAGCGCGCCACGACCTGAAAGACCTCCCTTGTGAGTGGGATTTGTGCAAAGCATTCTCGCAGCCCTTCCATCAATGACGCGGGCAACAAGCCCTCCCCCCCCCTCTAGCTCGAGCCCGCAGCCTTTGAATGCCCACCCTAAGACTATAGGCGACTAGAAAAAAAAATATATTTCGACTTAACACCACATTCCTATTAGGATGTGTGGTACGTTCAAGTTCCATTTAGGATCGATACAACCACTCCGACTCCGTGAATCTTTCGAAATTAATTTAAAAAATGACTGTTTGCGAAAATTGACCCTTTGCCAGTTGGAAACATGGAAAATTTGCCTAGCAGACAGATGGATTTCGATAATACTTCGAAAACAATCAAAAAACTAACGTGAAACGATATCCGTGACACAACGTCATCACCACTAACAATGCTCATCACATGTTGTTCCATTTCATGTAGCCCATTTTCGCTTATTACACAACCAGGTGGAGCGAACGCAAAACATCGAACATCCGGATATTCTTGTCTGCAAATAAAAACTGCAGAGAAAGGCTCGTAAGACGGTTCTACTCGTATGCGTACTTTAATAATAAAGTTAGTAGCGACGCAACGCCGGCACCAAGAGAATGTCCGCAAACCACAAGTTGATAATTGGTGTTCAACACGGCAAGATCTTCAAGTACTTGGTGCTTCCTGAAAGCAAAGAAGAATTTTCCAAGAACTCAATCAAAGCACTGCAGCAGAAGTCGCTAAAGGCATACGGCACGATAATTTTGTACTCTGTTTCAAATGGTAGCAGGGTGCTATATAGTGGCAGAGCGGCAAAAAAACCAAGTGAAATGGTCGAAGACGAGCGAAGGAAATCCTTTTTTACATGACTCAGAAAGCAATTTCGGACGTGTTTCCTGTAGGACCCTGCCAATGAGCGCTATGAATAGATACCAGCATCAAGTACGGTCGTCCTTTTGTGGGCGGGCGAGAGCGGTGGGCGAACGGGTCAGTATGTTGTAGCTTTATAGGGGCTTACAAGGGAACCTTCGTTGGGAAAGCCGCTACGCTACGCCTGCTCAGAGACGTGGAACTCCGTTCTGCTAGGCGTACAATTATACTTGTCCTAGGAATTTATTGTGTTAAATGCGTTTAAGCTATTACCCAGATTTCGGAAGTTCCCATGCCTCCAAACTTATCGAAATACACAGTAACCTGAGACAAAAGCGTAAAAGTTTTGAGATTCTGCAGATATTGTGGCCGATTGAAAGAGTCTTCAGAAAATAAGCAAACCAACTTTAATGTATCAAAGACGTATCGCGCACTCATCAGCATTCCTCTATGAACCCTTACTTCTCCTTCTGTGTCTAACGTGGTGTCTGCTCGCAATAATGGATCAGCATCGACATTGACTGACAGCACTTCGTCATCTGAGATGCACCACTAGAGTTTGGAAAATCGAAAAAAATGGCAAAAATAGCAATGCCAAAAGGGCAATATGACAAAACAATATGAAGGGAAATTTCAAAAAAAATCCAAGTAACAGTCTAGGGGTGGCAAAGTGATGCCATATGCTCGGCTTAGGCAACTGGAGGGACACACGAAGTACGCCGTCAAACACTTGCCGCTCACGTACGCCATAAAGCATTTACCCTTAATCTTTTGAAGCAAAGAAACCACACAAACCTAGGCAAAGATCGGTGACAAGATCCACTAACGAGCAAGATCCACGAATTGTAATGACAATGCTGCGAGTCTCATGATCAGCAAGTACCACAAACGGAACCTAAAATAAGAACTGAAAACTGAATACATACAGCAATT